GGTCACCAGTCTTAGTCTCTGTGTCCGGCGTGTGTGTGATGGTACAAGTGAATCGAGAGGAGATAATGAACCCAGTGCACTGATGCTGAAATACCGCATAGCGGCTGACTTTGTTGGTCCCAAGCAGAAAAATTGATGCCAGGAACCAATAAAGGACATTGAAAACGAATCTGATTCAACCGAAGTACGAGGCAACGTCATGGGATTCCGATATTGGAATCCGTATAGAATGTCCTATCCTTACACCTCAAACCACATCAGCAGGAAATCACCAATCTGTGCAGCGCTAACCAACTGACTCAAAGTAACATAGAACTAAGGAGACTTGATGTTTATCATTTAGAAAAAAAGAAAGCAAGGAACACTCTCCTGGATCAGGTTGGGAGCAGCATGGCTACGTTTCAAGGTTCTGGCCATCGCAGCATGTACCAGCAGCCGGAGGAGCTGGGACATCGATCGATTTATCCCACACTGGTATAAACATCCAAGTCGTGCAACTCGATTTCTCTTCCAGCGAAAGGTTAAAGTCCAGTGTGTAACATATTAGGCGGGAGATCAGTGTTCCTTGTGATTCAGGCTCAAGGTTCAAAAATTCATTTTTTACCTGCTGTGCGGATGAAGGAACAGTAGTGTGTTAAAAGATTAATAAAATTACAGACACGACAGCAAACACAGTCAGTATTGTGCACCCCGTCGTGTGTATTTAATGCAGCTGAAATCAAAATTGCACACCAACATTTTCATCTCTCATTTAGTGTTCCAGTCTTTGTTCTCCCTCAGTCGCAGATTTGCGTAAGTGAAGAACCCAAGTTCTTGCTGGAATCTTTTCCTTGGCAAGCAGCAGAGACGAGGATCCGAACAGACAGGAGAGCAGCAGATCCTAGGGACGTCTATCATCATGCAGATAAGGAAACATTCCCTCCTTAAACGGAGAAGTGTCGTAATTTCGGCAGGACATGATCTTACTCCGCACTAAAAATGCTTGAGTGTCCTTTCCATCAATGTTAACAGTCAGTTTCCAAGTCCCTCCCTGCAGTCCTGTCCGATACAAAGCCCGTCTCGAGGGAGAGAAAGAGCTCCATACCTTCCGGCTGCCCGCTACGCGGGATGCTGGCCTGCCGACTGGAATGCTGAAGGAATCCAATCCAGAAAAGAGACACCAGTGAAAGCTGACTACGCCTGCTCACCATGAAGGAGTCGAAGTGGACGGATCCTCTTGTTACCATGCCTGGCCTTACTATGCCTCCGTACGGTCACGTAGCGCTCTCTCGCAGTGTATCATTCAATTGTACGTGCGTACAATTTGTCGACATAACATTGTAACTACACTTACAGTGTACATTGTGGAGTTTTGTGCGTTCGTACGATTACAGTACACCCAAGTCAGTTCTCAGTTTTTAACGATGAAGGTGAGTATTTGCAATTGATCGGTGACATAAACGTCCATCGGTTTATTTCATTCCACCACCTCCACCCAACCGTCATGTGTATTATTCGGAAATGTACTTCAGAATTTCAGCTGGAGATCAACACCCCTAGCCCAACACCTGCGAACACCTGGCTGTGTAAGCTGTTGGTTTGTACCGTCACAAGCGCCATCGTGAAGAACATTCGTGTATGAAGTCGGCTGTCACATTTCACCCGCGACTTCTGAATCATGGATACTATTCTGGTCACGGCATGGCCTCGTGTCTGCCACAAAACTGTGAATTGGCATCATGGAGTCTGATGGAAATCAT